TTCGTTGAACTAAATGAGTGTAACATAGTGAAACGAATCTCTGTTCTCTGTACATAGGTAACATAGTTACACTCATTCGGGATGGATTTAGGAGTCTTTGTGCGAGCCGTATGCGGTGAGAGTCGCACGTACGGTAACGAGGGGGGTTCGCGTCTGGCCTACCCACCCTATTTGTTCCATGATCTATGGGTCTACTGGAGCTACCCACTTCGATCAATTAGCCAAGATTTTGACCGGATACGAAATCACTGGTGCTCGATCTAGTGGTATTTTTATGGGGATTCTATTTATCGCTGTAGGATTCCTATTCAAGATCACTGCAGTTCCTTTTCGGGCGGCTGTAGGATGGACGGCCGCCTATAGGTGGTAGGGTAGGGTGGGTGGTACCGAAACGATCTTTTCAGATTGCGGCCAATCTTCCTAACCGCGCGCGGGCCGGGCTTAGAGCGCGTGAAACTCATCACTACCTCGTAAGGGCGTTGAGACCATAGCATGTTACACGAAAGCGCCGCTTTCTCTGTAGTGTTGTCACACAGCTGCCCGCCTAGAAGAGCCACTCGCTCTGTAGTGTTGTCACACAAGATAAGCACGCCGCCCGCCTGCTGGCCGGGCGAATCTAAGTTATCTTCCGGTCAACTGTCCACCCAGTCAAGTGCAAAAAACACAGTAGAATCACGCAACGCACGCTGCTGGTGTGCTTCCTGCTCGCGAGGAAAGAAAGAAGAGCGACAAGGTTCAGATTTTACTGTTTGCAGCATGGGAGCAGATTCCCCAAAAAATCCCTGGGAACAATAAAAAAAAAGATATCTCGGTAACGAAAACTATAGGGGGCTGTATTGGCGAGATCCAACGGTGAACAGCTTCCCAAAAGAAAAACCGCCTGGAAGTCCGAGGACCTTTAGTACTGTACTCTACCCCCGAACCAGCAGCCTTCGCGCCAAGCAAGACCGCCCTTGTCCCTCTTCGAGCAACTCCCCTCTTCGAGCGACTCCCGTTGGTCGTACCTCTTCGAGCGACTCCCGTTGGTCGTACCTCTTCGAGCGACTAAATGAGTTGAACTATGTTCAACGAAATGAGTTTCACATAGTGAAACGAATCTCTGTTCTTCAGAGCGACTTCGTACCTCTTTCGAGAGACTTCGTTCCTCGAATAGGTACGAAGTTGGTCGAGTCACTTCGTACCTTTCCTTTCTCCGTTCCGCCTCCTTCTTTGCTTTGTTCCAATATTCCAATAGAGTATAAGGCAAAGTGGTTCGTATGCCTACTTTACCTACTTGACGAAAGGGAACGAATCAGTCAGCCTCACTCCTTCCTTTCGTGAGGCTTTTGTTACTGGTGAACGCTTCCAAAGGCGACCCCCGGCTGTTTCCTAGATTTAAGTAGCCTTTCGTCGCCCTACCAAACGAATTCACTATCAAAACAGCTCGCCCTATTTCAGTACCAAAGGTGCGCTCAGCCCGGTGACTAAGAAATGGGGTTGCCCTTTCATTGAAGTGATGTACTCGTTAGACTATTATACTTCTATACTTCTATTTTTTAAATCTAAACGATATAAATGAGTGTAACGTATATCTTTATATCTTTACGTTCAACTCCGTTCGTTTATTCCACTCGTCAAGTATATTCGGAAAGAGGTACGAAGTCACTAGAGAATTCGTTTCACTATGTGAAACTCATTCGACCTACGTACGACCAACGGGAGTCCCTCTCCCGTAGGTCGAGTGACTTCGTACCTCGAAGAGGGGAGAGGGAAGTAGGGCTCCTATTGACTCAAGGTTGGTTCTTCGCTTTCCTTTAGAATGAAATAGAATTAAAGTGGCTATGAAGCCCCTACTACTTTCTTTGTTTGACTTTGTTTGATTCAAAAGGCGAACAGCCCCTCCAACTAGTCGTATGGGTGATAAGCTGCCTTGGATATCAATCAGGGTCTTTTGACTTGAGAATCAATAAAAGGCAAAGTGAGGAATGAGTGTTCGATATAGGGGATAGGATCTATCTGCTCTTACCACTTCATACTTTCTTTTTTTTATAGAAATATATATCATTGATTCTAAAGTAAAAAGACTTCGTTTTTGGGTTCCCGTTCCGAATGCTTCTCCGATCCGGAAGTTCTCGCGAAGAGAAGAAGATGCTGCTCCCCTCTAACGCCGACGGGCGCGGGAGGTTCTAACAGAATGAGTTGAACTATGTTCAACGAATCCCTTTCTGGCCTATTGGGATAGCAGCCTTCGGGCTTTGCCTGCCCTTTCAAAATTGAAAAATTCCGGCTCGGCCCGGGAAAGCGCTGGCAACAACAGAAAGGAAGGGGTCCATGTAGCTGCTGCGTCCGCCCCCTTCTTAGTCAATGGGGCACAGCGGGTTCGGCATCTACTACAAAAGATAGAATCCACTTAAGATAACCACGCCTCTGCTAGGCAGCGTGTGGAGCGGACCTTTTTGGATATATAATCCAAGTCGAGAGTAGAGTTACGGGAACAGCCGTCTGATGGAAAACAACTTTCACGTTCGGTTCAGAGAGCACTTTTTTCGTTGAGAATTCCTCGTTCCCTTTCGTGTGAATTCCCCAGCGACGAATTCAAAACTTGTGGGGCTTTCTCTCGAGCCCCGAATCAAACCCCCTCCCCTTCGGACTCCATATCCCTTTTGACTCTATATATGTGGGCACCTGATATCTATGAGGGTTCACCCACCCCGGTTACAGCATTCCTTTCTATTGCGCCTAAAATCTCTATTTCTGCTAATATTTCACGTGTTTCTATTTATGGTTCTTATGGAGCTACATTGCAACAAATCTTCTTTTTCTGCAGCATTGCTTCTATGATCTTAGGAGCACTGGCCGCCATGGCCCAAACGAAAGTAAAAAGACTTCTAGCTCATAGTTCAATTGGACATGTAGGTTATATTCGTACTGGTTTCTCATGTGGAACCATAGAAGGAATTCAATCACTACTCATTGGTATCTTTATTTATGCATCAATGACGATAGATGCATTCGCCATAGTTTTAGCATTACGCCAAACCCGTGTAAAATATATAGCTGATTTGGGCGCTCTAGCCAAAACGAATCCTATTTTGGCTATTACCTTCTCCATTACTATGTTCTCATACGCAGGAATACCCCCGTTAGCCGGCTTTTGTAGCAAATTCTATTTGTTCTTCGCCGCTTTGGGTTGTGGGGCTTACTTCCTAGCCCCAGTGGGAGTAGTGACTAGCGTTATAGGTCGTTGGGCGGCCGGAAGGTTTCCACGAGTAAGTCAGTTTGGGGGACCGAAGGCAGTTCTCCGTGCACCGGACACGTAGCTTACCGAATCAGTTGCGACACGGATGGGAATGCATGCTACGAAAGATAGGGTCGAGAAACCGTCTACTCAATATCCTTGTACGAGTCCACAATCACTACACGAGATGAACCTTAGTTTGGTGAATTGAAGTTGGCCTTAGGTGTAGTTACTCCGCGCGATCGTATACTGAACAAGCTAGAGTTCTATAGAATACATAGGTACGAAGTGCATAGTTCAACTCATTTCGTTTCACTATGTTCAACAACGAACAACGAATAGTGAAACTCATTTAGTCAAGCTATGTTGGTGAAGCTGGTGCTCCCCGCCGGTTGTTGGAACGACGCGAGCCGGGTCTCGATTCAGAAAGGGGGGTTACAAATTCCCCATCTCATTGGGGGCGGAAAACGAATCGACATCTCGATGTGATACAGCCCTTTCTATTTTAGTTGGGAAAGAACGGCGAAGTCCATCCGAACCGTCCAATGAAGAATAAGAGGAGAGCAAAGCGCCAATGGCGCGCGAAGCGCATGGCTCAAAGAGCGAACGGATTCAGTCGAATGAGTTGAACATAGTTCAACGAATCCTCAGAATGAGTTTCACTATTCGTTTTCAACGAATCGTTTCAAATGAGTTGTTCGTTGAACTCATTTCGTTTCACTATGTTCAACTCATTTAGTGAAACGAACAACGAATAGTTCAACTAATTTGGTCCAAAGAACGAGAGTCGGCTTCGCTCTAGCTACTTCGTACCTTTTTCGTTACACTCATTCGGAACGAACGGGCACGGAGAAAAAGAAGTGTGGAGGAGAAGCAGCCGAGCTCATTCCCTTCGCTTCCTGGGTCCAAAGCAGTATTTCCTGGAGAAAGGATTTGGGGTAGGCTACTTTACTATCCATATCCATTTTTTTAATAGTATGAATAGAAAGATAGATCCATCCATCTATAAAACTATAAATAAAACTATAAAAAGAATCGATTTCATTCAACGTTGACTCCCCCCCACTCATGAAACGGCTCTGCTGCAATGGATGGCAGCGGGTCCGTAGTACCCGAAGCACTGGAGTGATCCAGTAGCCGGGAAGGGGCCTAGAAGTGCCTACTACTACACCAAGGGCTCTACACATTTACAAAGCTAACCCCTGTCCAGAGCTAAAGGGGCTTCAATCCTTACNATGAAACGGCTCTGCTGCAATGGATGGCAGAGGGTCCGTAGTACCCGAAGCACTGGAGTGATCCAGTAGCCGGGAAGGGGCCTAGAAGTGCCTACTACTACACCAAGGGCTCTACACATTTACAAAGCTAACCCCTGTCCAGAGCTAAAGGGGCTTCAATCCTTACTATATCTCTTCATCTCTTCGCCCAGGCTAACGGGGCCTTGGGGGAGCCTCGACTGTTGAGAGGAAGATCCTTCTCTACAAGGTTCCTTCAACATAGAGCCAGGCAGAGATGGAAGAGATCAAACACGGGAATAAGAAGCAAGCTCGCCTTCCTTTTTTCTTTTTTTATAGAGGGGGATGCAGAAAGTGGACTCGCATTTCTCATCGAATGAGTTTCACTATTCGTTGACAGAGAACAGAGATTCGTTTCACTATGTTACACTCATTTCGTTGAACTAAATGAGTTGAACTATGTTCAACGAAATGAGTTTCACATAGTGAAACGAATCTTCATACAAATACAGTATTTCATTGGTTACATATTGAAAACGCTCCTAACCCCTTCCTTCGTAGAGCCCGTGTTGATCCGAACCTGCCCGGAGCGAGCCTCCCATAGAGGCAAGTTAAGTTGGTGAGCCGTATGACGGGCAACTATCTCCTGCGGTTCGGAGAGGACTCAGCTGTTAGTTAGTACCCCCTTGGTTTCGGGGTGGACCCTTTCACTCTATTTTATTATCTACGCTTAGTGAAAAGAATGTTTTTTGATACACCTAGGACATGGATTCTATATGAACCAATGGATCGTGACAAGTCGTTACTACTAGCAATGACTTCCTCTTTCATTACTTCATTCTTTCCATATCCTTCTCCTTTGTTCTCAGTTACTCATCAAATGGCACTCAGTTCATATCTTTAAGTTCGATCATTGACAAGGTTCAAAGAAAGGGTGGGGACAGATCCATCCTGACCCTTTTCTTATATATTATTATATATATATTATATATAGGTATATAGGATAGCATATGCTTTTGTCGGTACGGAAAGCTAGTCTTCTTACCCAGCCCAATAGTGCAGCGGATTCTGTAAGAGCAAGGATAGAACGAACGGTCTTTTCCTTTCAAGATCTTTCGAAGTGAAACGAAATGAGTTTCACTATGTGAAACGAATCTCTGTTCTCTAGCAACTTCGTACCTCTTCCCTGCTAACTAACTAGGATTCGTGAAAAGATAATTCGAATTGGGTATAAGCTAAGATGAATGCTAATCAACGGGAAGGGAGAACTGGGTCACGGAACTCTCTGCTCTTCGCCCCTTGGCTACGAAACTAGGCTTTGATCCGCATCGAGAAAGAATGGGAATGGGGTAGGCCTATGCAATGGTACACGAGTGCCGACGGTTCGAAATAAAGAATTCTTCTCTCAACTATACGATACCACTGCTGCCATTTCTGAAGCTATCGGGGATCCACTTCTGAAATACCATACCAGCAAACTAAACTTCTTCCACTTGAACCATTTAAGATAGTTTTCTTCACAATTCTGATCATCAGCCGGGGAAGAATTGGGGTAAGATCTTCTAGAGCTAGGGAATAGGTACGAAATGAGTGTAACATAGTGAAACGAATCGTTACACCTTGCTTCTTTTCATCTTCGTTAAGAAAAGCATTGAAACTGACTGGGGCTCTTGTCGAGCTTCCTAGAGGATCAAGTCATTCGTAGTTCGAAAGGGATCTAGAGATGAGAAATTGAAAAGAGAAGCTTGCTGCTGATCCCATTCGCGCATGAAGGCTACTAAGGCGTCGCCCGCCCTTTTTCCGGATGTTGGCCTTTCCTGCCCTTGTAAGGCATATCCTGAAGGCAGGTTACTTTCCATCCGGGATTTCCTCTGCTGTCTGTAAGTCAGTAGTTCGGCTGGTTTGAAAAGCGCGCTATGATATTTGAGTGATTCCCGTCGAGGAAAGGACAAGAGAGGGTAGACGCGAATCGAAATGTAATTCTATTAATTTTATTAATTTAATAAGGTGTAGATCCATCCCGTGGATTGGCTAGAAGATGGATTCCGTCTGTCTGAGGAACCCCGCCCTGAAGGTTCTGTCAGACTTGTAACTTGACTAAAATATGCAAGCGTGGGCGAACTTTCTTGTTTTTGAGGCCAATGGGTTTCCGCCCCGGTACTCCAAATCTTGAAATCAGGACGATGAGTGGGATATATAGGTGCGTGCATCATAGCAGGGGTTAGATGAAGTCGAACCTTGCTGTCTTGCGGATCCTGTTTTCGGGTTGGTATCTTCATCTTCATTGTCCAAACCGGGACCCTTCTCTAATCTAACGTAAGGGCTAACCTTTCTTTCGAGATGCGAAAAGGAAAGAATGATAATGATAGAGGGCGATGGCATTGGGTATTTGCTATTGCCAGATGATCGCTCGGGCCTTACCTTATTATCTTATTTATCTTATATAGTAGAGTAGGAGAGACCAACGAAATCCTTTTGAAGTGTTTTAAGATACCCATTTCGGAAAGGTGACTATCCGCCGGGAGACTGCTCAGTTAGGCTGGGAAGCGACTCCCATAGTGCTATCGTATACTTTCGAATGCTTGCTCTGAGTCTTCGTTCTAGGTTAGGGTTACTTTCACTCGCTTTCGAGAACCTAATCTCTTTCATGGTGAAAATAGCCCTGATCGACGGTGCGCAAGGAGTCACTCGTGGCACACTGACTATATTCCAACTTCTCTGCATCAATGCACTCACTACCTTTTAGCCAAGTCAAGCAGTCTTTGAAAGAAGAAAAAGAATAAAGTCACACCGCTACTAATTCCAACAGCTCACCCGAAACTACCTTTAGAGTAGAGCTAACTGCTGCAGTTACGCCTCCAACAGATGAAATCGCACCGTCGTCTTCCATTTCGTGAAATCCCACTCCACTGGCTGTTCTTCCCCTCGTTTCACATACGCTCTGGAACGAAATTCGAATAGAACCAGTTTCATCAAAACCTTCTTTCAAGTTGGCTATGCGCCCGGATCTTGACCAAAGAAGGTCAAAGACCTCTAATTTATGCTTCACGCTTTCGAAGCTTCGGCTTGACCGTTTCTGCAATCAGTTCCCTTGCCTACATCGAAAGAAAGAAAAAAGGATTCTCCCTTCGGTTACTTGAAGCAGCCACATATAGCGTATATACGTATATAAGAGAAGAAAGTAGCGGATGAAAGGTATGCCACCCTCCTCGCTTGCATGCCTTGTGGAAAAGTATACTTCAAAAGATTTGGGTTGGGGTATAGAGCCGTAAGCGCGGTGGGGGGTGACAGAGGACGTGCTCGTACGGTTCATATAAGGATATGATAAAGTACTTTTTTATTGGGAACTTTCAGTCCTCTATATTCGAAATATGCCTTTCTAGGAGCATTACGATCTGCAGCTCAAATGGTCCCTTATGAAGTATCTATTGGTCTTATTCTTATTGTGCGCCTTGTGAGCGCGTTTGGATCCGCGAAGGCAATCGCTCGGATGTTCCCCTAACCCAACCCGGAAACGGACCGGAGGGAACCGCAGCATGGGGAATGTCCGCGTCTCGTC